TGATGTTTGGGGTGTGAATGTATGCAAAGGAAGAAGAAATGTAAAAATTAGTTGCGTCACTTCAGTACATGCGAAGTGAATTATCAGAAGACAAAATCTGACTGTGCATACAACTCTTGAGGTGGGAAAAAAATGTATTGCTGAACATTAGTGCTGTTTAAAATGCTTATTTAATTAAAGGACACTAGCATATGTGGTATAATGCTATAGTATGTTACGAGTTAGGAGGAAGTTATATTTTCCTCCCTTCATGGCTGTTGAGGATTATAAACCTTAACGAGGAAAGGAGATTTGAAAAAATAATGCAACAGTGGAAAAAAAAAAGTACTTACTGTTTCCCTAATGAATAAGCAGAGATACTTCACTTGAACAAAAAGTTACTAGCTATTCTTACAGCGTGGTTTTGCTTTTCCAGATGGAGAATTGTCAACAAAAAGGTATTTACTCTCTGGGCAGAACCAGTATTGGAGCCAGGATGTAGTTTTATTTACTTCCTTTATCTTCTTCGATGTTCTTTTAAGACGTTTGCAATCTCATGTACTGTTGCAATCTGTTTAGCTATACTGAAGTCATGCTTAATAAGATGGTCTGTACTACTTCCTTTTACTGTGTATACTTGCAGTGTTTAACAAAATCCCACATGATCATCAAATTAACCTCAAATGTTAAGCTAACCTGAAAAGGTTGAACATATGTGGTCTTTTCGTAAAGCAAGCTAAGTTAAAAGGATCAAGGTTTATTGTAAGATTTACAGCACTTCCTGGTTTGAACTAATTCGTTTTTTTTTTCCCCCTTTTCAGAAGCACTATATCTCCTTCCATAGCAGAATCTGAAGATCAACACAACTTTTGTGTTTCATTTCTTGTTTGGTGATCTTAGAAAAAAATCCCAATGAGATTCTATTTTAGTCAGCAGTTAATACTACCTCACACACTACTTCTGTTTCTTGCACTTTGAATTGTGTCTGGCATGAAACCTTCCTGAATCTTGTTGGTTGATGTTTTTTCCTAAGATTAATGATTCATTATAATCTTAGTTTTCACATTTACTTACTCTTCTTCAGTATTTGCAGCCTTGAATATTGAGAATGAGCTTGTCAGTTTGCTCAAAAATTGGGTTAGTGACAGGGCTATTGAGCATGTTCTGGGGAGAGGCCAAAAAACAAACTGGAGAAAATAGGAATGTACAGGAATCTTCTTTTGTAGGGGCTTCTTCTTATCATCCCTTTTTATGCCCAGGTGGAAAAATCTCACATTTTTTGTGCTCTGTTGTCAGCATGAGTGAGTCTCCATCCAATCTTATTATTTTTATCAGACTTACAATTGTTTCTGATTTCAAAGTTACTTGTCAATTTTAGAACTTTGTTAAGGTAAGGACACAAAATATCACACTAGGGAGCAAATTAAAAGAGGATCTTGAGAGGTTGGAGGGAGTAGCTTGCAGTCATCTTCAAGGAATTTTCTCCGCTTAACCACTTCAGAATTGTGGGACAATTGAGAGAGAAATGATTATATTTGTGATTGATCCTGTAAGTTCAAATGCAAGTAGGTTGTGGAGAATATACTTTAAAAACAATAATTTTTCTGGTGAAAAATTATCTTTGAGTTGTCCTGGATTAAAACAATCCTTGTGATTTGTGAATCTCACTACAGTAATTTAACACACCTAGAGTGCTTTCTGAACATTAAGTTTCAGCTGGACAGTATTAACATATTTGCTTAATTGCACTAATCATGAGTAATTCTCTGAGTCAATTTTTTGTTTGATTTATCCGAGAAATCAGTTTAGAAACCTACATGGTATGTGACATATACAGTTCACGTGAAGTAGGTCACTCCAAAAGTAGTATCTCCTATTTATTTCCATGGAAACTACAACAGATACAAAGAGCACAGTAGCACTATGTGAGAGAGCAAATTCTCAGCTACAAAACACTGTTTTTCAACACTCTCACCACCATTTACTATGCATTTTCCCCAGTGATCAACACGACCCCACCTGCCACACTCAAAGCAATCTGCACCAGTAGAGATGACGCATTGTTGCTTTCACTACTGCTGAAATGCACCACCCACCATCTCACTGTGCTCACATCCACTGTTTGCTCTCCATCGATGTTCAGCAAGCATCAAAGAATGTCAGTGGGTGCCATTTTTTCTTCATGGAGGAATTCATTTCCACATCTTTGCTTCATGTGCACTTCCATGTCAGACACCATTGTGCCCCTCTGCTGCCATCTGTCACAAGGCAACAACGTGTAACAGAATATTGGTGGGAAGGTTCAGCGTCTACCACTTTACCACCAACATCTGCCTCTGACATTGTGGGCTGACAGAATAAAACAGGAGACGTTACTTTAGGAGCAGTCTATACATGTGGGAGAGCTAGTTGAAGAACTTGTTTAAATGTGTCCTTTGGTTTTGGGGGGCAGGAGCTCATTGCTTCTCATGCTTTTCTTTGCAGGAAAGATAAAGCCTATATTTCTGTCTTCTTTTAGGTGAAGGTCATAAGCATTCACAAAACATAAGTAATTTGTTTTATGCAGTGAGTCTGTGTGGGAGAATTATTCTTTAATTGCTAAACATTAATGACCATTTTCTCTGCTTTAGCAAAACATTTGTCTATTTTAATCAATTATCTAATTCTACTGCCATTGTGCATTCAGAAGGTGTATATGAGAAAGTGGACAGCAATCAGAAGGTCATTTGTCTTGTGTTAAATGAGAACTAGTGTGTTGAATGAATTCAAGATACTGCAACTGTCCTTTTACGTTAGAGATACTTTACCTTCTCAATACTCCAAGTCATAGGCAGGTTTTTGCCCTTGAAACTCAAAACGTATCTTTCCTGAGAGCCCCAAAACATGCAGCTCTCCTTTAACTATCAAACTCTCTAGCTTCATCTGAACCTCTAGGACTCCATTAGAATGTGTTCATGCATTTTAACTGAACTGTGCATGCAGTGGCTGGGGTTGTCAAAGGTTGATTAAGGACTTCAGGTGCAAGTACAGGTGGTCTCTAATACCTTCTCAGCATGAACTTCTCCCCTTTTTGTTGGAAACATTTGACCTTCGTTCCTTCTCTGTTTTTTTTTTCTGACTTCCAGCTATTGAAAATTATGTTCTTTGTCTGCAAGATGAGTTGTGTTGAAAGTTTTTGCAGATGTTGGTCTGCTAATTTAATGTAGAGACTTGTTTTAGGAATACATTTCTTTAAAAAAAAAATTTAAAAATCGAAGTGATTAAAAAAAATAAGGCTGAGTTTCTTGAACATTTTCCTGTGTGATTAGAACAAATTTTTAAAGTTGAGAAGCAAAATTTTTGTATGTCATGGACAAGAAAACATTTTTTTCTACTAGTCTTGACTTACAGAAATCTAACATGATTTTTTTACTTGAATCAGATACGATGTGATAGTCTCCACATGCGTGTGCTGAATAATGAAGACTATTGATTTAATATTTCATGAAAAGATACATACGTCATTTGGTTCAAGCAGATATGTTACTTGCAATAAAAAGTTGTAATGCTTCAAATCAGTTTGCAGACACAACTAAGCGCCCTATGGCATGAAAAGCATCACAGAAATGGAGTATAGATTGAGTCATCTTCTAATGCAAGCAACTTGGCAAAACATGTATTTAAAATATCCTGAGAGGAGATTACTATCTTTTGCTACGACTTGAACTGTTGAGATTTATACTGTAATACGAAGGGTCTAAATGTTTACATGAGGAACTGCTTTGCTAAATTTATCTGTCTACACAATGCTACTTAAGCTTCATAGGAGCCCCCAAGGCTAAAAGACACAGAAATTACATTAATGGAAGCTTGGTTCACCAGCCTGAAAGGGGGACCCCTGGAGCCCTCCCTTGGCCCTTTAGATACCACTACTCAGTGAGGAGGGTTTTCACAGTGCCCTGAAGCATTTCCTTAAAATGCAGTGGGAAGTTAAGCAAGGAGACCCCCTGCTTATGTCCCGTAGGCATCCTGGTCTGGTCCACATGCTCAGAAAGTGCCTCAGCCACCACACAGCAGCAGATCCAGATCCAGATAAGCAACCAATTTGTCCAGAGTTTGAAGCTCTCACAGTTACAGGAGTGCAACTCTGAAGTATTTTCTGTTCTGGTACGCTTCTAGTAGGAGGCAGTTTTAGAAAGAAAAAAGGTATTTCTAAGTGCATCTTGTTAGATTTTCAGCCATTTGCCCAGTTTCAGGTCATCTCAGTTTAGCCTTTCTCAGTGCTATGAGAGTAACCCGAAATATTTGGAATGGGGAAAGGGAGCTGTAAACAGAGTAATAATGACTGTTTTCCGTATTAAATTGCTTCCTTCTCTTGGTTACAAAACCTATTATTGTTACCATTTACATTTAACAATGAGAAGGCTCTGTCCTCTCTCTCAGTCCCAGGGCATACACACCCTTGCTATCCACATGAGCCTTACGGACGCGCCACAACATAGTCACGTTGCTGCCTTGAAGTCTTCTCCCTTAACAGAAGATTTGCTCACTCTTAGATAGTTTACATTAAAAATCAAAAAGAAAACAATTTCTTTTACATAACTCTGTTTTGGGCTGGAAAAAACATAGGTTATAGCTAGTACCTGCGGACAGCATCAGTATTTCAAAGACAGAAGGTATCCTTTGGAACACAGCAGCAGTAGCTAAGCAAGTGAGAGGAGACAAAAGGGTCAGAAAGCATTGGTAAAATACCATAAAAAATAAAGCAAATATGACAAAGTAGGCTTTGGGTTACAGTTAGCCAAATCATGGAGCATCCCAGTCAGCTCCTCATCTCTACTGGCTCATGGGAGAAAGGGGCTTCAGGGGAGCTGTATAATACAGGAGCTGACTCAAAAAAAGAGCTGAACCCCTTTCTCACTGTTCACTGTATTTGAACTGAAATACAATTTCTAAAAAGAAGTAACCCAACTGTTTCAATCTGCACCTGTGAATCTTTAAATGTCTGTTATCCATCCCAGCTGGGCTGGGTGAACTTAACTCTGGTCAGCTGATGGGGGTGGGAGTCAGACAGATAGACATATACCTGGGTCCCTTTTTTGGGCAAACTGATGATAGAGCTGCAAGTCTTTTCCTTCTGCTTGGGTACAGTAAGAGTTTTGCTGCTTTGTTTGTTTGTTGTTTTATTTTGGTGTTTGTTTTTTTTTGCCAGAAAAACAAAACATGGAACAAACTCAAATGTGTCATAGTATCTTACTGTTGGTTAAGACTAATCTACTTCCATGCTTTTATTTAGTTGTAGTTGAGCTGCTGTGTCCTTTACTAGCTGGTAAGCTAGGGGGATTTAAAAGACTTTTTTTTTTTTCCTCTTATAAGGAAATACATGCAAATAATATAGAATCTTGAGTGAATCTAAGCGTAAGCTCCATCAGAATTCTTCATAGTGTTAGAGAAGAAATTTCAATAACTAAAAAAGTCTGAGAGCTGAAAAACATTTTTAGATTCTTAGAAAATAAAAAAAAAAATGTTTTGGAGCCTTCTTTTCCTAAGTACTATTTAAAAAGTAGATAGAAGAAATTTCTTAAACAGAAATCCAATTTCTTGCCCTAAAATTTCCCTCAAAAATATGGAGTGCAGCAGACAAACTCTAGTTGAGGAAAAGGGATGTTTTTAATATTTTTAATGTTACTTGGATGTTCTCTTCGTGTTGGAGTAGTACTTTCAGTTGTTGGTTTGTTTTATTTTTGTTAATCCTTTTGGATATCTGTAGTTGATGTTTTCAGTATTGTGCACATAATGATCTGAAAAGGTGTAAAAATGTGTTCAGCTTTGGCTAAGCCACTGTAACTTGGGGACTAAAACAGTAGTGGTCACTGGTTGTTCTGTGGTTGAGACAGGGAGAAGGAGGCTTTTGGCCAAGGGTGTGAAATCTGTCTTGGTAAAAAGGACACTGCTGAATGCTTTAAGACTGGCTGCAGGATGAAGCCTTAATTGAAGCTTTGCTTTCTCCATACTGCAAGGATGACGAAGGGCTGCAAATCTTTTCCTTCCACTCGGGTACAGTAAGAGCTTCTGTCTTCTTGCCTGGAGAGGGAACCATGAAGCCTTACCTTTGATCCATTTGCCCTGGTTTTTTCACTTAGTGCCAGTCCAAGAGTAAAAGCCAAATTACATCTAACTGATTGGGTGTGCACGTGGTAAGCAGCAGATGACCTGTCTGTTGTGAGTTTGTTTGGATGGAGCACCTTGTGAAAAAGGAGAAATTGAACACCAGCTGCTATGTATGCAGGAGTGGTGTGGTGTTTCTTATGGGATTTACAGGCTTGCAGAAATTTTGAAAAGATATATTAAAAAGAGGGCACAGGATATAGAACCCCATCAGCTCTTTTGTACCATTTGTTGAAGTCATTGGTTTGACTTCAGGAGTTAACAAGTGTTCTTCCTGCTGTTTTACTGAAAGTCTAAAGAATCTGTTTCTCATCATGTCAGCAGTAAAATGGAAGAAAGATAGGAGCTACTGGCAGCCACAAGCAGTTTTAGCCAAGGCAACAAGGGGGAGAGCAGAGAGAATGGTTGAAGGCTGTGAGTAGGTTGTCCCTTACTCACATGAACATTGAGGGTGTTAGTTCAGGTATCACACACGGTGTGTGCCAGTCACCACAAGTGGAATTTGCTCTTTGGTCTTGATTTCATCCTTCTTTGCATTTTCTTTATTATGGACAGGATATGAAGCACTACTCATCTCAGAGCAGTGTGAAAATTTCCAAGGCAAGCAACAGTCAGATGCTAATGCTAATAAACCACCCTCAGCAGAGGAGTGGTTTTGTTTTTTGAATTCACAGCCATGCCTGTGCTGTCACACCTAGGCCAAAAGTAAATACAGTGATAGTGATGGTAGCAGTACGTAATGAGGAAAATGAAGGTAATGCTGCTGTTGGAAAGCTTGGGCTCCATACTGCCAATCTGAACAGGCCAGGAAGCATCTTAGGAACCTGGAGAAGAAGGAAAATGCCTGTTGTTTTGGTTGATTAGAATCTCACAGACTGGCTGCTTTTTCAATCAGGTAGGGGTATGTGTTTCCTGTTTGCTTCCCAGAGGCTAGAAGCAGGACATAGTTACAGCTGCTGTGCCTCTTTGCAGTTGTTTATGGATTTTGTAACAGCTTTTTGTAGCCCTAGACATATTTTTAAGTGTTTTATTGAAGAGATCACTGAATTTTGTATTATAGTATTATTATTTTAAAAGTACTGTGTCTACAAAATGTAAAGGTCAGATATTTGCTCTCCATTGAAAAATGCAATATGGTGTAAGTTTTGTCTTTCCTGCACTGAGTACATTTAACCAAGAATATTGTGCGTTAAGCTCAAGGGATGAGATTGTTGTACTGAGGTTTTCTTTCTTGAATGAATTTCTGTTGAGAACCTGGAGCGGTTCTCCAGCTTGGCTTTTCAGGGCGACTAGACTCCTTGTGCTCTCTGTTTTCTTTTTGACTGGTGGAAAACAAACTTTGCTTACTCTTTGCTGATGTTAAGTCTTCTATTTTTGTGAGGGTACTGTGGAACCTGATGAAGCCCAGGAGAGGGGAAGGGTTGGCAGTAGGAGAAATGAAGATATTATTTTGTAGAGTCTTGCACCTGGGGAGAAATATCCACATGCATCAGTACAGTTTGGGGGCTGACCTGCTTGAGAGGAGCTCTGCACAGAGGAACCTTGGTGTTCTGGTGGGCAACAGGTTGGCCATAAGCCTGAAGTGTGCCCTGGTGGCCAAGAAGCCCAATGGGATTCTGGGATGCTTTACAAAGAGCATGGCCAGCAGGTCAAGGGAGGTGTGATCCTCCCACTCTACTCTGCGCTGATGAGGTCACACTTAGACCACTGTGTCCAGTTCTGGGCTTCCCAGGTCAAAAAGTGACAGGCATGTCCTAGAAAGGAGTCTAGCAGAGGGCCACAAAGATGATTAAGGTGCTGTTTGTTGCGATGTGCATGCCTTGACTGCAGAAATTCCAAAACATGTATCAAAACCGTCCTGACAAATAAACTGCTAGGAGGACAGTGGTGTTTTTATGTGATCTGTTATGTGGGTTCGGGGCATTTCGAAGCATAATGCCACAATATGGGTCGGATTTATGAGGCATGAGTAAGACATAAGGTTGATGGCTTCCTCTGCAGGATTTTGTGTGAACTTGCCAATTTGAAATGATCTGTAACTGGGATCACCTAGTAACCAGATTCTTCACCTATTTCATTGATAGCTACAAGTGATCCTCCAGTACTAAAGTAACTTGTTCAAAAGCACCCCAAATTGATGTTTTGGAGACGTGATGGAATGAGCGCTTTCTTTCTCTTATTTTCATCTCAGATCAAAAGGAAACTTCTCTCTGTCCTGTTTGCTCTTTCAGGATTTTGGGGATGATGATTTCTGCAAAAGTTGTTTTCTTTTCCTTCCTTTGTAATAAATAGTTTTGCAGCCTTTATCTGTGTCCATCAGTGTTGCAGAGCATTTTATATTTTTGTTGGAACATGTTCTCTTGCAACTTTTGACCTGAAAGATTTTTTGCTTCCTGAGTGTCTTGTTAAACTGGAAAAAATGATTGTATACTTCATGGGTCACAAAAAGGGTTTCCTATCATTCAAAAAGTTTTATTTTATCCTTTTGGCTACAAATATAGTTATGATCATGGTACAGTGTTTCATTTGTTGTAATTGCTTTCTGGAGTCATGTTGTTATTTATGTGTGTGTACTTAAGAATACAGATTATATCTATTTTTCTTTTCTTCAGTTATATTTCTGTGCTGCTTTCATCACATGCTCCTATTGTCACTAGTTCCTGTTTATGTTTTCCTTTCTGTACCACTGAACTTCATGTTTATGTCTTCTTTTTGGTTCTATTTGCTTTTTCAGTCCCATTGCTGATATAATGATGGGTCTCATCCTCTTGATTTTCCTGAACTTTGGTCCTAGCTTGTATCTAATGCAGGTGGTGACCTGTTTCCACCTTTAGTGGCAGTTTCCCATTTGTATCAGGCTGCAGTCTCTTATGTACTCCATTTTGAATACTGTGTTTGACAAAGTTGGCATGGAGTCAGCTATCCTCATTTCCTCATCCCCATGCAGTTGGAGTTGCCATGTTGGATTACAGACACTTCTGTGCAGGCGCTGCAGCTGTTAATGAAGTTGAAGAGGTCAAATCTATCTTCTTTTCTGGCTTTTGCAGCTGTGAACGGGCAATAACATCACCAAACACCACAGGCTAACTCCAGCTTGGTTAAGTTTGACCTGAAAATAAGTACAGCTTTTGTCTCTTTGAAATGGAAACCATGATAAATTCTTCAGTACAGTGAAGGAGAGAGGTCTGTGATTTGTGGAAGCTTGTTTAGGATGGACGCAAATAGAAAAACATAAACTGACTAAAATTCAAGAAAACCAAAGATATTCCATTTTGAAACCAGAAATCAAAACCAGTGTGTAAGAGTATTCATTGGCCAAGCTTTTGTTGTATTCTTGGGGGAAGATCTTAATTCTCCAGTCCCAGTACTGTGCTTGTGTTCTTTGATGGTTTATTGTACTTCTTTAAAAATTACAGTAGTCTTTTTGCTTGTTTTACCTTCTGGATACCTGCTGTAGGGTATGTGATCTTCATAGCTTTGATGTTTATTATCGTCTTACAGTGGAAAGTATACTTTCAAGATGTAATGTCTCGGTAGTTTTCCTTAGTAGTTATCCTGCAAAAATAAATATTGCAGGGTTCATCCTGCCAATTAAACAGCATCCTTAACCCTTTGAAGTGCTCCAACAACTATTGGTGTTACAAGCATGCTCGTTTTTGTGAAACAAATGTCTTCATGGATGGTGGGTTTTATTGCTTTTCTCAGACCATGAGTTTTGATTGCTTATACTTGCTTAAATTTAGGTTTGCACGTGATTCAGAGACTTTTTCTGATGACTTAGCATTCAAGCTGAAAACAGCTAAAGCTCTCACAAAATTGGTTAGTTTTGTTGGGTAGAGATGGGTTAACAACAACAAAAAGATTGCATAATGGCTTTATACAAATGTGTATGTATAATGTATAAACTAACTTTTAATGCTTTGGAATCTTTTGGTTCAAACTAGAGGGAATTGACAATTTTTAATGTTTGACTTTAA